GATAGATAGATAGATAGATAGATAGATAGATAGATAGATAGATAGATCATTTATTTATCTCTTTCTTGGTGGGGGGGGGTACCTGGTGCTCTCATGGAAACCTCCAAACACCAGCAGCTGCCTCTTGCTGAGCACCATCCGGTGGCCACTCCGACCCGACGGGCCTCCAGCAGCTCTGGGGAAACACAGCCGGTCTCAGCTGGCTCTGAACATGCCGACTACAGACACCAAAGCCTCTACGGGGTCGATGAACGAGCCTCCGAGCTTAGGGTTAAGGTCAGGGCTATGGTTGGGGTTAGGGTCAGGGTTAAGGTTAAGGTTAGGGCCGACCCTCTGCACGTACTTGATGTTCTCCCACACGTTTGTAGCCAGATGCAGCACCCACAGGTCCTTGTAGTGGTAGAACTGCTCCCCGTTCGGGGAGGCAAACTCCCCCCCAAACACCCAGAGCTGGCCCCCACCCTGTGGGACCACCACGGCCTGAGGGGGGGGGGGGGGGGGGGGGGGCAGAGCTCAGTTAGTTCCCAGAAGACTCCAGAACAAAACATTGGACTGGGCTGTAAATACTCTTCAAAAATGGCCAGAGTCGCCTCCACCTGCTGGACTACTCTACAGACCTCTTCTGACTCTGTGGAGGCCCCAGCCATCATTTTCTATGCTGTAGTCTGCTGGTTTTTAAACACACAGTTTTTTCTCTTACTTTGTAATATTTGGTTATATATTCATAGGTCACAGACATTGGACCTCTCCCCCCTTTACTTATGCCTCTGCTAGGCTTGTTGTGTTTTCCTTTTTCTGCCCTTGTGTTCTGTTCTGCTGGAACATGTGAATTTCCCCACTGTGGGATCAACACGGTAATCTAATCTGATCTAAATGTGATGACGCGGCCTCCTGCTGTGGGCTGACACAGGCTGCCCCCTAGTGGCCGGCATGGAGACTCACTCTGAGGACCGAATCCCTCCTCAGAGAGGCCAGTTTGTTGTCAGAGGCCGGAAACAGGTGCGAGTCTGCGTACCTGGTGAGAGCAGCGAGGGGGGGGCGCGTTGGGAATCTCAGATTTAACCCAACTGTTCTTCTTGATGTTGTAGATAAACAGGTCGTTGTACAGATACGTCTGGAAAAAAAAGGACGACGACATGGTTTTTAAGGCTGTTCGTCGGGGAGGTAGAACTCTGACAGCTGTAGGAAGCAATTTGAGCACCAAGGTGGAGCCAATGCAGACTCTAAGAACCTTTAATGCACACAAATCGCACAAAAACATCTGGATCTGGGTTTTCAGCAGCTGTAAGAATATTTACAATGAACATAAATTTAAAAGTTCATCTTAAACTTCACAGAAAACACCTTCTAATTTACTCGAATGAAGCTGACAAAGTAAAACGATTGTGAAAATAAAACAATAAAAATAAAAATCACAGAGGGAAAAATAAACAGACAAAGTGGTCCGTCGAATTCTGTGAAATTGTGAAATATCAACAGGATCTGATTAGTTTATTCTTCAGAGAGAAGACGGGAAAAGAAAGTCTGAACCTTTAAACATTTAAATAATCGTTAATGAGTGTTTTCTGACCTTCTTCCCGTTGAAGAACTCGCCTCCAAACAGGATGAGCTCGTCTTTCTCCGGGTGGGCAGAGAAAGACGCATTCAGTCTAAAAACAACAGACGCCAGACCAAACATAATTTGGTTAGTTAGCTATCTTATTCATAGACATGTGAACACTGGTGATAGTTCCCTTCACAGCACAGAGCTAAAGTTCTGATCCAGCCATAATTTCTTCATGTTTTCAGCCAAAAAGTAACATTTTTTTCTGCTTTTTCTCTCCCTTTTAGACCATGTAGATGAGCCTTTTCAGAAATATTCGTTTTTCTTGAGCAACTTTCTTGAGGCCCCTAACTCAAGGGATGAGCCAGTGTTGTGTCCAGTCAGCAGAGCAGCAGTTTAAAGTGGATCTTTAGGCTCTTTGTTAGCAGCAGCCTGTCACAGAGACACATCATTTGTTCTGATTCTTTAGCTGATGAGAAAAAGGCCAAAGAAAACCCAGTCTGACAGACAGGAAACAGGTTTTTTGGTAGCTGAAAATTTAGCAGATGTCACAGCTATTACAAACAAATGAAACATATTATAAACAGTGTATTACATGTTACATAAACACATTACAAACTAACCCTAACCACACATTAAAAACTGCATCCTTCACCTCGGGGATGGAGGCGGACACGTCGTTTCTACCACTTGGGTCTTCTTGGCATCCAGATTCTGAAATTCAGCAATGAGAGCTTCCAAATCCTCCTGATGACACAAGAAAGCGGATTTGAACGCGAACCAATTAAAAAATATATTTAAACGGTGTTAACCTGCTGCAAGCAATCATATAATAAATATATCTGCTGGGATAAAAGTCACAAAAGCACTTATTTATCGTTACCTCCTCTCGTTTAGACCTCTTTGAGACCTTTTTCTCCATTTTGGCGGCGGTTTTTTCCGCTCCTTTTACCTTCTTCTCTTTCTTCCCCTTTTTCCCCATTTTTTCCCTTATGGTCACAACTATTAAAGCTGTGGTTTCATTTCAAAGAACGGCTGCTAAAACCACGCTTTTCCCCCTGACAGACCGAGATTTACTTCCGGCAACAGGCGTGACGTAGACTGTATACCGGAAGTCAAAGCGCCCCCTGTCGTAGCGGAAGAACTACAGACCTTAACTAAGATAAATCGATATTATTCTAATGCAACATAATATTCGCTATGTCTGCTTTCTGTTTTTTATTTTTGTACCAATGTAAGTTTACATGTCCCTGGCATATTTTCTTTCATATTCTGTGTTTTTTTCTGAGGAAAAAAAAGATGTTGTTTAATATATCTACCAAACAAATCTGCAGATATTATAAGTCTGTTAGTTTTTGTCTCAACAAATATAAATAAAAAATGAATATGGATGAAATTTTTTATTTCAGAATAATTTATGAAGTGTTGAGACTTTAATTTGAAAGAATTACGGAAAAAACAATGATAAGGCTTTTAAAAGTGTTTTTAAATGTATTTAGTGACAACTGAAAAGGAATTATTTCTTTATTTAAACAAGCAGTAACTTCTATTTATAGGATAACTACATTGAACTGATGTTAAACTGACTAAAGTATTTGGAGCTTATTTTCTAATTAGTTTTCTGGAATTTTTGGAGAAAAAATTTCCCAGGAAGTCTCTTACCATAAGGCTCATTACCAGGAGCTGGCGTGGCCGGCGTGTTTGAACACTCGTGTCCATTTATCTTCAGTGTGTGTGGAATGTAACACAGAGAAAGTGACAGATACTAATCAGCCTGAGAGCTCCCTGACATCCTGATCCAGCGTCTGTTTGACACCGACACCCCTCTGACAGGTCCCTCAAGCAATCCGGTGTGCGTTTAAATATGTTTCAAATCAGCAGCAGCCGAAGGCAAACTAAGAAACATCACTTAGATAATGAACCATGGAACCTAAGGACTCACAGTTGCTGCTCAAGCTGATTTGATCGCTTCTCATTTAGTTTCCGTGCAAAAATCTGCTTTTGGTGTTAATTCTAAGTTTGTATTTTAGTGTTTTTTACAGAAGGAAGATAGTTTTAAGTGTGTGTGATGTGCATGAGATGGCCAGAAGAGGGCAGGTGTGCTGCTTTGGAAACGTAGAGCTGCTTGTTCAACTGGCTCCGAGATAAGGCCTCTCTAAAGCGACACCTGGAAATTGAAAAGTAAGAAATATTGCCGACCTCGAGATTAAAACCCTGTCTCCTTATCAGCTTTGATTTAGCCGCCTTTGGACGTTTAATCTGCATCGTTTATTGCTGTTTCATATCTCTTTGGATTCATTAAAGTGGAGCCCACAGCGTTCGCATGCGAGCAGCCTCTTTTTCCAGCCATCCGTCAGCATATGGTGAAGCTCATTTCCCTTCCAGCATCCACAAACACTCACAAATCCTTCTGCACACACAGAATCCAGCATCAGCTGACTGTGGACACACACACAGCACATGACCCCCCCCCACACACACACACACATACACACACATACGCACACACACAGTAGCGTTCTGACTGAAAGCTGCTCCTGAGGCTGCAGCTGACTGCAGAAAAAGGTCAAAACGTGAAGAAGGCCTCGTCCCCCAGAACAGGCATGTGAGGAACAATCTGCTCTGTGTTTCTTTGTGAGCCTTCACTGAGATGCTGGCAGACAAAGAGAGACGCCTGACGGCTGAAAGCCCCCCCGAAGGGTCCCTCTTGACCATGACTCTGCAATTTCCTCTTCCAACAGCACCTCCCTGCTGGTTCCTGGTCTGAGGGGTGACAAAACATGATCTAAACCCACCAAAATATCAATGTTTATATGAATTTACCTTCCAGTTGTGCGCTTTAAATCCACTCTGGGTTTCTGTGTGGATCAAAACTTAAACTAATTTTTCCTCTTAGCTCAGAAACAGCTCAGAGATTTAGCCGTTTTTGGGAAAATTATAACTAAATATTACATTTTCTCCTTTTTCTGCAACATGACAAACTCACTGATGTATAATTTCTCTTTTTTCAAGAGAAAGAGGTCAGTTTATTAAAATTGACTCCTCAATTCTGAGTGAAAAACATCAGAAATCCTAAAGATTTGTTCAATATTTGCTCTGAAACTAAAAACCATTGAAGGTGAACGAGTGAGTTTCTGGAGCCAGAAATGACAAACTGAGCGTTCTGCTCCACGAGGCTCCATTTTGGTCCTGAAGGCCAAAATATTCATAAAAGACCAACAAATATGAGGAACGCTGACATTTATCACATCTATGAAGGACGCAGAGGGACACAATTCCTGAAAATGACAGGAACTTTGTCAAAAAGGAGCCTCAGAGCTCACAGGGGTTAAATCTGATGTTTGGGAGCTCAAAGTGTCCATTTTAGGAGCAGAGTTTCATTAAAAGCATCCAGACTTGAACAGATCTGCTGTCATATAGAGAAACAGGAACTTTTTAAAGTTATTTCTCCATTTCCAGGACCAGAAGTTTCCCCCATGCAGGTCTGGGGGCTTTAAAGGAGCAGAACCAGCTTTTTATAGCAGATAAATGCTGTTTTTTTTACCGGTTATGTGATGAATCAGGGGGCTGACTGATTTAGTGGGTTTCTTATCTTTATCAAAAGCAGATCTTTAATAACAGTTTCCCTTTTGGGATCAATAAATCATCACTGAGCTGGACAGAAAACATCTCCTCACACTTGAAGGTTAAATTAGTTTTCGATCTCTTCCTGCTCCGGATCGATCTGAGCAGCCTTTTTGTCCCCGTGGGCTCATTTCCTGTCTCCTTCAGTTTCAGCATCACTGATCGTCTCCTCCCGCTCTCATTCATGGACAGACGTGCGCGCGTGCACGTGGACCCCGTGCACGCCAGACATCAGTGAGACGTTCAGGGACCCCTTCGGCTCCACACGGACCCATAAGAACGCGCGGTGACACCGGCCGAACAGCCGGTTTGGACTCAAATAAATTTAATGAAAATGGCCGATGGAACTTCTGGAAATATATCAGAATATATTCTGGATATTTTGTGTTGGTGTGTCATTTTTTTTGTGATAAATAGGATTTATTTGGTTGGTTTTCTAGTCTGTGCTCAGCAGCCGGAATCAGACGTGATGCCAAACAAAGCCAATTTATAAAGAACCCACATTTAGTCAAAGCTAATTAAATGTCAGTGTTTCCAAAAAGCCAAATTCCTCCCAAAACAGGTCAAATTTGATTGATTTGAAGCTGGGATGTGTAACCAGGTTATTTTGTCCTCCTTTTTTTGTTTGACTCAGACGGTCGTAAAAACGATGAACAGTATTTAAAATTTCTTGGTCACTGTTTTTCTTTTTCCATGTTATTTTTTTGTTGTTTAATTTCTTGGATATTTTGTCACTTGATGGCTCTCTGACTTTTTGAATGTCAGTTTGTATCTCTATTCATTTCTTATCGTGTTGCGTTGAGCTTTTTATCTTTTATCTCTTTTCTCTCTCAGTTTTTTGTGATTTTCCATCTGTTAAAGATAACTTTGTCTCCGTTGATGCTTTATTGGTCTTGGCCTCCTTTTGTCTCTGTTTTGGGCCTATTGGGGTTGTTTTCAGTGTCCGGTCAAACCGTCTCTGGACCTCCTGTCTGCTCCCATAATGCACCTTGACTCCTAACTGCTGCATCTCTTCCTTCCAGGAAAATTCAGAGATCCATTTCTTCCTATATTTCTGCATCAACCTGATAAGGAGCAGAACAAGCGCCGCATTTATGCGCTTTTCTCTGCGTTTGTGAAGCACGTCTCCGTCCCCGGAGCCCCTTTAAAGCTCCCGAAACAATAGAGAAACACAAACACCGATAGAGTGGGGCTGTTTGATCCCGTCCCGGCGTCTACGTGCCGTGCGCGCCCATTCCTCCGCAGCGTGTGCGCACCTCTCCAGTGTCTCCAGGGAGCGGAAGCCAAAATCAGAGCGCGCACCTGTCCGTGTTCCCTTCGTCTGCAGGCGCAGACTGTTTATGAAAGCCCAGCTTATCAGTTTTCCTGTCACACGGCCTTTACCAGCAGCTGCGGCCGAGTGTGGGAACGTGAACCACCTCCCTCTAAGAGTTCAGGAAGCTGGAGGTGAAGTTTTCCTCTGATCCAAGAAGCTTCTTCAGTTCTAACTGATGGTGGAGCTCTGAGTTAATATAATGTAGGTGGAACTAAAGAATTAGCTGGAAACCAAAGATGGCTCTGGTCCCTCCTGCTGGGGGGGGGGGGGGGGCGCCTGGGGGGGTTAGTGGTGGTTAGGGGGCTCTGATGGGTCGATAACTCCCTTTCAGAGAGGTTTGGGTCTCATCTTTGAAGCTGGGAGCTGAATCTTCTGGCTGTTGAGACAGCTTCTGTCTGAGACCAGCTCCTCTGCTGAATCATGCTTTCTCCAGGCCAACAGGCCTTTTTTCATTCCGTAAAAAGTATTTGTGCAAAGAAAAGTTCAAATGTGTGCAAATAATTAGTTTTTTGTGCTTTCTTCGTGTTGAAGTGCGAACTAGAAAAGGATTTCTTGGAATTAACAGCGCTTTCAAGGCAAAATGGTTCTGAGAGCTGTGCTTCACGTTTAGTGGATGTCCTTGTTTCCAGGAAATAATCAAGAGGACCGAAGAAAGACCAGAAGCAACAAAAGCAGATATCAGAAGAGCAGCAAAAGCATGAATGTGCAGCCCGGGGGCAGCTTTGTTTTGGCCTCAGGAGCCGAAGGCTGTCTGTTCCCAGAGAGCTGATAAGACGTTACTCCATGTTCCCTCTAAACTGGGATGAGCCATTCTTTAAAAAAAACATCTGGATCTGTGGCCTCTGAACAGGGCCGGGCCCAGAGGGGGCGTGGCCCCCCTAGATAAACGTTCTGCCCCCTCAAACTGAGTCTGTACGACCCAGAATCAACCTGTAGGTCCTGGTTTCTGACTCCATCTGGACTCCAAGTCTTCCTGGAAAAAGTAGTAAAATAAGTAGAAGTAGAAGAAGTAGAAGGAGCCACGGGGCATTTAGAGACACGCTCATTTAACTGAGCCCCCCCTCAGTAGGCTGAGCCCCCCAGGAGAGAAGGAGGCTCTGCCTCTGAAGCCGTTTCTTCTTTCTTCAGTCTAAAAGACTGATTTTAAAGAGCAGCTTAAGGTGTTTATTGTCTGGCTGGCGCTGCATGTGACCTCAGCATCCTCTGACTGGAGGCCAGATGAGTGAATGAAGACGATCACGAGAGGCGACCAGAGGCCGATAAGGACACGAGCTCACGAGGAGCTGCTCTGTCGGAGGGTCCCTGAGGGGGAACCCAAACCCGACTCCAGTCCATCCCATCTGTTTTCAGGGCAGTACAATCCAAATAGGGTTCGATTCATTCAGAAAAAGGAAGAAAACTGTTTCCAGACTCATGAAACCAACGGTTTGCTCTGAAATTTACACTTTTTAATCCCCATTATGCACGAACACGAGGGGACAGAACTCCTTTTAACAGGAAGAAACCTCCATCAGAACCAGAGGGAGCAGTGGTGCATCATGGGAGACCCCCTCCCAGCAGTCTGGGCCTATAGGAGGAGAGGTGCATCATGGGTTTGTTTTTGCAACTAAAACCGCCAGCTATTTTAGTTTTCTAAGGTGGATTTTTGGTTTCTTTCGGAGAGGTTTGCCTCTAACTGAAGTCCAGAGGAGTTTGTTCTCTTTGTCTCGCTGAGCAGTGAACTGTGTGTTTCTGTTTTCCCTCCTCAGGGTTCAGCCTCCCGACCTGATTAAGCTCCAGCATGAGGCTGAAAACCCTCCGAATGCTCCGAATACTCCAGAAGATTAAAGCTTGTGCTGTTAATCAGACGTTTACAGCGAGCCTCACGTGAGCCTCAGCAGCCCCAGAACCACACAAAAACAGGCCCTGCTGAGGCTGTCCCAGCCTTCCTCACAATGAAGACAAACGTCTGCGTTATTATTGCCTTTTTATTTTTCTCTTCAGAATAAAAACACTGAATACAAAAATCAAACAGGTCAAGAGGACTAACTAACACAGAAGCAGCACTCTGGGCATATTCAGCTCTGTTTTCATGCCTCCTTCTAAAAAAAACTGATTCAACTTCATCTTTAAGGCTCAAATCAAACTTTAGTTGGACTCACTGAGGATTGTCCATCAGGTTTTTACTCCTGTTGAGCAGAAAACGCTCCGTTTTGCTCCCTTTTTCCCACAAACCAGCAGCTGACCTGCGAACTGGAGGCGTTTCAGGCTGCTTTAACATGTAAAATACAAAATATATTCTCTGATGTTTGACAGCATGTGCAGAGTAAGGCAAGAAGAAGCACTTTTCAGACACACAGAACAACAAGAGGCAGCTTAACAAAAGCCACTACGCCAAAAGTCACTGAAACGCTTCCACAAATGGAGGGAAACTCTTTTCTACAGTCTCCGCTCGATGGGGAAATGGGTCCCCAGAGGCCGAAGGCTTGTTGCAACCACAGGAAACAGCGTTTTACTGGCGTTACTGGAGATTTTTGAGGGGGCTTCCCGAAGCCGACGGCGCCCAGATTCAGCAGGGTTCAGCCTGTCGGCACGTTTTCCAACAGAAAGACATAAAAAACTGAGCATCCAGCTCAGAAAAGTCACGAAAGGAGCCTCTCTGTGGTCAGATGAGCCCAGCTGGAGGAAAACAAGGCAAAAACTGGAGCCTTACCCTTAAAACAACAGATAGCCGCAAGGATCAGAGGCCATTAATGTTTAAATAAGCTTTAATTTGAATATATAATGAACATTGGATTTATTGCCAGTTGTTTTTTAGCTCTAGCTCTCAGAATGAGTCTCTTTTGAACATCCAGTTGAAATTAAGTGGTTCATAATGAACCTGAATCAATTCGATGAACCAAAGTGAGTTCCAGCCATGGATTAAGTCCTGGCTTTGGTGTTTTGTGGGATATTTGGATATTTGTGGAGTTTTGCCTCATTTTCGTCCTTTCTCTGATAGTTTAGGAGCCAGAATCGGGTTCCTTTGTGCCTCCTCTCAGAGCTTTTTGTGGTCCAGATTTGGCCACTTTCTACTTTTTGGGGGGCAGTTCATCATAATTTGTTAGATATTCAGGTTTAAAAGATGAAGATTTTCCTAGGAGGGTGTTCAGCAAAGGTACTAAATGTGATAAAGACCACAGAAGAAGCTGCAGACTTTCAGTCTTTTCTGTTAAACTCTATAATACTTGTCAGCTTTCCTCTGTGTTTGTCACACTTTTTCCAACCTAAACACCTTTTTTGTCCGACCTAAAGGGGTAAAACAAGCCATAAATGGTGCATTTAGTCTGTCTGGGTCTTTTAACCAGATTAAACAGAAGCCGACTCTGAACAACGAAAAGCAATAAAAAAGAAAGAAAAAACTGAACAAAAAAATAACTCAAGGGTGGAAAAAAAACTTCAAATTTATTGAAAAGCAATTCCAACAAAATACCCTGTAAACAAATTAGAGTAACTAATAACAACAAACGTAAAGGTTTTCCTACAAAATAAATAAATAAACGGTCTAAGGCCTTAATGGGGTTAGTTTCCGCCGGCTGTCTGGAGTGTTAGAAAACTTCTATCTAAGACACATTAGCTTCCTGTCGGACCAATCGCAGGAGGCTCAGAACTACTTCCTGTCCTAACTCGCCGTAGTGAAAACAAACCAGAACAAACATTTAGACTAGCAGCTCAGACGGGACGCGGCAGCTTAAAAATCCTCTTTTCCCCACAGCTCTGCTCACATTCAGGCTTTTGAGGGTACAGGACGAAGCCGGCCGGCGTTTGAGAGGCTCGAGTGGCGGCTCTGAGCGGCCAAAGGAGGGGGGGGGGGGAAGTAAAAAACATATTTAAAAATAAGCACTTTCTAGCCCAAG